AAAGTATGACTAAAGGCAGGTAAACGTATAAGTCTGTAATTATAAATGTACTGAAGCACATTAGAAGCACAAAAAAAGCACTGAAAAGTACTTTCAGATATTGAAAAACACATTTTATATTAAGAAAAACATGTTTAAATGGAGAAAATACATCATTTTTTAATGGAAATCTTCACAATAGAAGCTCACAGACACATTTTTTTATGTTGTTTTAGTGACGAACACAAATGATGCATGTGTTTGCAGGTGTGTCCTGCATATAGTTGTTTGACTGGAACCGTGCAGAGAGCCACAAGACTAACTAAGCTCATAATCAGAATCATAATCAGCTTTAATGGCCAAGTATGTACACAACATACATGGAATTTGGTTCCGGCTGTTGGTGTCGCCCTGGGAATTAGCAAGGAAAAGAATAAAGTAAAATAACTATAGAAAGAAAAAAATAAAATAAAATTAATAACAATAAAAAATAAAATAAGATAAATATACACAAGAATATACACATCTAGCAGAATATATATATGTATATATACAGTGGTGCAAAAGATAATAATCATAATCATGTGTATTATGTCATGTGTAATATGTTACACTGTTGAGAAATATTCACCAACAAACAGAAACTTCAACCAAGATCCGCTAATTATTTGTGTAACACACACAATTACATCCACTGCAGCATCACAAAGCTTCATCTGAACACTTTAATACACGTTTTGTTCTTCTTGCTCTCTGGCCTACGGAACCCTGGAAGGGACATAGAGAAAAAAAAGACAGGGAGAGGAAAGAAAAAATAGAGGTATCTCAATTCTCAGGATCTCGCAATAACTTTTGCGAGATCTCATAAAACTACAGGTAACTCCAGTCTGGTAGGTGACGGTAACACACCTGAACATTGGATGCCAACCGCCAAATCAATAGAAGAAGAAGGAGGAGAAGAAGAAGAAGAAGAAAACTAATCGGTATGTATACTTCTGGGTCTTTTTGGCAGTATGGAGAAATGACAATGGAGGACACCACCCTGTACAAGAGTTTTATTGAGTTTTATTTTGAAATTGGCCTAAAATATAAAGACATTCAAACACTGCTGAGCAAGAGGCACAGTTTTAACAAAACATCCAGTAAGATTGATGTGACTTTTGTGAGATCCCGCAAAAGACACCTCTATTTTTTTCTCCATGACCCTTCCAGGTACTGTCCCACTGACTCCATGAGAATCTGTGGACAAAGTTTAACAAAACAAAGCCAGAGGTTGTAAATAATAGAAAGGGCAGATACTAATCTCAGAGCAAAGGCTACTAAAGCCAACGTGCTCTACTTCCTCTGAGCATTAAGCCGGCTCTGCTGTGTGCTTCGTTAGGCTTACTGAGCTACAGTCTCTGTGGTAAATAATCTGGTATTAAATAGAACAATATGTATGCATTCGTAAAAGTCTTCGTTGTAAAATATTAACCTATCAATGCTTATATATCATCATCACAAAATGCACTACATCTATACTGGCTAGTATTTATTCACTACATGATTTTGATGCCACACATTTAAACAGCAGTCAGAAGAAAAAGAAGAAAAATCAAATAGAAATGACTCAAACCTGTTCTACAGCTTCACCAGATTGTAAGAAACTGTGACCTTCATCGTTCTGCATCGACTTTTTATGTCTTTAAAGCTTCACGAGGAGTCACTTTTTATGCTTTAAAGCTGCGAGCTAAGCTGTGTTCAGCTTGTGTGAGTGTCACGGTCACTCAGATAAAGTGAAGTTAGGCAAATTATTAGTCATTTACAAATTGTAGATTTTTGTTTTAATGAAGAAAAATAATAATAATACAAATGAATATGTGTCTGCAGGACTTCTCAGCATCGTGTAACTCCTGGTCCTTCTTTGTGTTCAGCGGCAGGTTTTAAAACTCTTGCTGATTCTCAAGCGTTTTTTCGAATGTAATTTATTTGTATGAGGTGTTTTATTTCTTTTCTTACTCTCCTCTTGGCGTCTGGGTTAAGTGTTTGATTCCTCGGAGGAGAGCCGCTTTAAGAACAAAATAAAAGAAAATGTAAAAACAAAAACAACATTTGCCTTAAATTGCAGCAGAAAAAATGTAAGTCCATCGAAATCACGCTGAGAAGCGGCTTCACGCCGGCCGTCTCCGGCGTGGTGTTCGCTCACAAACGGTTTTGGCTGCATTCATGAGGGAAAACAATGGCCGATTCTTCAAGTCCTGCCAGGCTTCTGTAAGAGATTACCGGTACAGGCATGATTAAAAAGATCCACGACTTGGAAGGCTTAGAAACGCTTTGCACATTGATCTTAGTTTACCTGTCTAAAAATATCACCGGAGATGACACTCAGTTGTTTAGAGGCTCGTCTAATTTACTGTCAGAATTACGGCACCTTCACATCTGCTATAAAATCATCCTTCATGTAGAAAATAACATAAAAATCAAACGTAGTCATTTGTCACTACTCCTCAGCTCGTCTCCTCAAAAGTTATATTTGCACTCGAGTTTTTCACAACATTGCTGCTCGTCAGTATTCTGAAACAGCCTCTTATTGTGCCCAAGATGCCCACAAAAAAACACAATATTCACTGCACAGAGTCATCACCGGTATTTGTCCTGTTTTATTGTCTTTTATTGGAGCTTTTGCCTTTTTTCTCCTGACATTTTGTCCTCCTAAAGTAAAGAAATACCTCGTGAAGAAATGTTTATGCTTCAAGATAACGCTGAAATAGTCACTATTCAGGCTGCAGAGGGAGTTGGCAAGAAAAAAGGGATTTAAGGAGGTTTGTTCTGTTTTTTTAAAGGCCTCAGATTGGGTTCATTTTCAGCAAATGAATGAAAATGTCACCTCCTTCAGTATAACCACTTAAAATCCTCCATGATGGTTCATTTCAGAGTGACTGTAAAACCAATCATCTCAGCCCTGAAATGGACTCTTCAAGAATCTGACTTGGTGTTTTGGGGGCATAACAGCAAACACTGATAAGTAGATGTTTTTTATTTTTTTTAAAGGAGAATGAAAGATTAAAAAGAAAAGAGCAAGTGTTGCAGAAAAGGTGCGCAAGTGTCCCAATGAAATAAACAGCAAGGGAAGCAAATCCAAGGAATTATATGTCATTTTGCATGATTGTGCAAATTCAGATTACATAGCATCTAATGTAAACAACTTGAAATGTGCAAAGGCATAATAATAATCCTATTTAAAAAGCTGTGGGTTAATGTAACACACCGATAGTGACTACAGAGGAGGCTGAAGGGAGAGAGGCGGCATCACTGAGGGTCTCTGGCCTTGTTGATGAAGAGCTGCTGGAAAGAAGCAGCTCCTGTGGTGGGAGGTTCTGGTCCTGAGAAACAGAGGATAGAAGCTCAAACTGACCCCTCAGGAAGATCTGATTGACACACGGCAGCTGACTAAGATGTGAATGAATGTGTGAGACAAGGACTTTCTGTGGCTTCTACTTTCTCTGTGAGCATAATTTCACATGGAAATGTCTCTGAATGCAGTCATTTGTAACTCCTGTGTGTAATGAGGGTGTCAGGTAACATTATAAAATCTATATTTTTGCAGTACAGAACAGCAGTTTATTGGTTTCAAATTGGTCTTACAGTTTCCACCATTTCTGATTCTCCTTCAGTAATAGGACTTCCACACGACTCTGACCTGTAGGCCTGTGATCAAAGCTATAGTTAATGTCAGCTGCATTAAAGCTACACTAAAGTCTGTTGTTGTATTCTACTGAATCCTCAGTTCTTCAATTGCTGGGAGTGCATGAAGGCTCTTGTGTTCCCTCCTGCAGCTAACAGCAGAACATCTGGGGTGGTTTGCTCGTGGCTGAGACGTTTTAGAGTCGGCAGAAGCAGCTCTGGAAACTAAATAAAATAAAATACCTGGTGGATTAAGAGGCAGTTGCTCATTCTGGGTGACTCACCTGAAAGCAGCAGCGAGGGGGAGGCTTATGGAGCTTTCTAGCTGGACAACTACTTGATTTTCTGTTTCCACATAGAACTTAATAGAATTCTAACTGGCTTGTAAAGCTGAGAGACCATCAGGGTGCCTGATGAATGGCAGTAGTAGGTGTCTTCATGTCCTCACATTCCTTTACTCCTCCAAGTTTTAAAGGCAAACAAACTGCCCGCAATAAATGTAGAATATAAATCCATATATCATAGTTTTAGATGACACCAGTGTTGGGTTTCTAGCAACAGTGGTGAGCAGATGAAAGTTGGCCAGAGTTGACTTTGCTGAAACTTTGAGACACACAACATTAATAATGTTATTGTGAAATTAGTGAGAATGAAAAGATACCAGACACAAGGGATCGAAAATATCATTGTGGATGTGCTTGGAATAAAAGCTGCAGTTTGCAAGTACAAATACAAAACAATACATAGCAAATGTGTTCTAAGTTCCCTAAAATAGTCATGATTTATTCAAGATTATATGGATTAGAAAGGCATATTTGGTAATACTTTGAGGCGAAATTAGTTGATGTTTACTACAATGTTAGTTCCTCATGGGGTCTCAGGGATCTCAGTCCTTAACAGTGTTGATCGGATGAAGAGTAAAATGACCCAGATTAAAACCTTAAGTGTAGTTTATTCAGCATTCATGTCACATATTATTTGCCTCTTATCTCTTATTTCAGTATTTTAAACTTTTCCAGGTTAAATGAAACATTTTAAAACCCATATAGCCCTCAAAGTGACCCAATAATGCTGCTGTGAGACAGAAATGTCAGAATAAGTAGGTGACTTGATCACATCTTAGCTCTGATCAGTGTCGCTGCAGCGCTTACGTTGATTCACGGCGGCACATTCGACATTCACGAAAAAAAAAATTATGGTAAAAAAAAAAATCGATTTATAAATACAATTAACACACTTTAATCAAATTAAATGGCAGACAAAATTAAATATATATTTTTTAAGCTTAAATACTTCCCATTACGGAGGCTTGACTCGCGGTAAAATGTCGAAAGTGCGGATCAGACGCAACAGCTACATTTACTCTCTTCCCAACATGGCGGCTCTCGGCGTGTAGAATACTGTTTTAGGAGAAACCTTCAAGGATTATTGTATTATTTGGACCACCTGCCAGCTATTCGGTGGCCAGAAAACCATCGCGGTACCGCCGCTACTCTTCTGCCTCGTTAGCTAGTCCGTGTCCTCGACGGTCCGGGAGATGTTTCGTCGCGGAGCTGCAAAGAAAGACCACAACAACAAGCCGGTGAAGAAGGATGTGAGTGACAGTGATAAATACGCCGACCTCTTGGTGTTCGGCTATGCCTGCAAACTGTTCCGAGACGACGAACGGGCTCTTTACCACGATCATGGAAAACATCTTATCCCATGGATGGGGGACAAGAGCATCATGATTGATAGGTCGGTTGAACAAACTTAGACCGAAACATTATGCTAACCATCTGTCCTGTTCCCGTTAGCCTGTTTCAAAAATGCAAAAACAGAAAAAAAAGAAAAAAGGGACCACTTGGAGTTTGTCTTGCAGAAGCTTGGGATGTACCTGCAACTGACGACGAATGTTTTTATTTCTTGCCTGCTAACTTGTCTTTGGACGTCCTGAACTGACAACAGATGGTATATGAAGTTTCTACAATAACATGCTAACATGCAAAAGCCTTCCAGTCTTTGCTAACGTTAGCCAAGAATGGCCCATCCACACCACTGTCTGCCACACTAGCTTAAACTACTGCAGGCTAATGCAGCAGCTGTGATACAAATGCTGAGGTTAATACTTATTTAAAACAGTCTGAGCAAAGATTAGCATGTTGAAGACATGGTTTAGCATTCATATCAGAGCTGTTGTATTTTGGGGGAGCATTAGTTTGAGCCAGATGTACCTCCTAAAGTGAGACAAACACAAATGAATTCAGGACCTAAGACCATTCAGGTTAGCTTTGACATCAGGCTTTGCATCTTGGCATGTTAGGAGAATTTGCTCCGGAAACTTTTTAAACTCCAGCCATACTGAACAATGTGACTTTTAAGGTGAAGTGTGACACAGACGATGTTTCACTCTTTCTGTCCCTTTTTCCAAACTGAAATTTTCCTAAAATGTATGAAGTCACCGAGCGAGCTGGCATCATTTTAGTATGCTTGGCTGATATCCACGAGGCCAGAGCAAATTCGAACCGAGAGTAAAGTTACTGCAGTTAAGGTGATTCAAAATGTCGCAGGGAGGAAATCGGCTAAGAAAAGATTTGGTTTCTGAGAAATGTTTCTGCGGACGATGGAGGGATGCTTTCACCTCCTGGCAGAAGCAGACGCACTAAATTACTCCCACCTACTGACTCTGTTGAATCACCTTGGTCTGCAGTGATCCGACTTATGTTTCATTTGTACACCTTTGTATGTGTGTCTTTATCACATAACCCAGTTTTTCCCCCAGCAAGGTAGGCTAAGGGGTCCTTCCAAACCCCGAATGTCAACCACAGCACCCCATTTCTTTGTCTTCATGAAGAAACTGCAACAGAGAGGTGGCGTAGAGGGACGAACCCTGGAAAATGTCGTCCATTTGGGTTCTTACGGATAGGTATTTATGTGCTCGGGTTTGTGTGAATGTAACTTTCTTTGCAGATGTAGAAGTAATGATGAGTGTTACAGGGGGGGAATTGAACCCTGTAAGGTAAGAGGCGAGTTGCTTTGTTTGTCTTTCTTTCCTTTTTTTTTTTTTTTTTTCGGTTTTGGATGTAGGGTTGTTGGCTTGTAAGACTTGTCCAGGAAGACAGTAGAAGCAGCAACCTTGCTAAGTATATTAGGATCAAAAACGTAAGCCCAAGGTCTTAATTAAGTCATTATTGTGTTGTCTGTACTTGGAGAAACTTTCAGATCTTCTAGTATTTTGCAATTAAACTCGCTCATGGCAGACTTACAGAGGTAGATCAGTTTGATGTAGTAAGTTGTGGGTTTTAGGCCCCACTACCTTGGTAAGTAGGTCCATGTCTTGTATGAAAAGCTTTGTCGACTTCCTTCCCTCTAATTCTGTTTATCATCCAACAGATACGATGGGCGTGGTCACTTACATGACCTCTCAGAGTATGACAGCGGGTCGTGGAACACGTCCTACCAGCTGTCAGAGGAAGAGGCCAGGATCGAGGCGCTGTGCGATGAGGAGAGATACCTGGCTCTGCACACTGACCTGCTGGAAGAAGAGGCCAGACAAGGTGGGCGGGATGCTGATTCTGATCTTCAGCAAAGATCTCTCAAGCAGGATGACAGTGGAGCATGCACGCATCTGGAACATACTGCTGTTTTCATTCTGCTCCATGTAAACACAGCCTAAAGTTCAGCCCAGTTCTGCCAAAAAGTCCCTATTTTTCTTTCACGTGACTGTTGACTATAGCTGAGTCAGACGTGGTTCCACAGTTGTGCTGAAAAGCTCAGAACTATTTTATTTTTTATTTTTCTTGCAGGATCTGGTGCTATAAACCATAAACAATTCAATAGTTTTTTCTGTTACGGCTCTTAAATTGTGTTATTTAGTCCTATTTAAAAGAAGAAAAAAAAAGCTACCGTGCCTTTTGGGCCTGCCAGCAGATTTTGTGGTTCTGAGAGTGGATGCCTGTGTGGTCGCCAAGTTCGCATTGCAAGCTGTAACACAATCAGTACAGAGCAGAGCAGAAATACTTCCTCTGATACTCAAGCTCCTTTCAGACATGGGAACTTACTGGCTTTTAAAGAGACAGAAATCTGTATTTTAAACATCTGTCAGTTTTACGCTAATGTTCCTCCACGACAGTTCATCAAAGTTTGAAGACTTACTAAAAAACAAAAGACTAAACCAAGACTAGTGACAAGTTTCTCAAACTGTCCGAATGCCTCACGCCTGTTCAGACATAAAACCCACATGTTCAGATGCTGTCAGATGAATGGAAAGGAGTCCACGTTTAAAAGCAGCTTCAGAAGCTTGGTGTTCATCATTCATGTTTCATTTCACTAATTGAGTTTATCAAGTCTCTGTTTGGCCTCTCGTCAGTATCGTCCGTCTGTTTCACATAAAATGTTTCGCTATCTTCACACGCAGTCAGTGTTTATCTCCAGATCATTTCTAATCTCCGCGCTGCGTCCTCTTTCACACTTTTCCTAAAGACTTCCACTGAGGATAAAACAATAAGCTTTTCTGCACAAACAACAAAGCGGCAACTTTAACACTCGCCGCGTACTTTAATCGAGGCTTCTTAACAAAATCTGATATACCAGCTTAAATCTTCAGAGCAGAGAAACACCCAATCTTCTGTTTCTGAAAAGGAGCCCCTTTGTTTTTGAGCTGCCATTTCTATGAAAATCACTTTCAACTCATCCAGGATACTTGCATCTGAGTCATCTTACGTGATAGTGAAACTCGCTGTTTTGATGACAAAGCGCCGTCTTTCTGAAAGACACACTTAATGACTGCAATTGAATTTAATAAGCTACAGTTTTAAATGAAATATGGTGTCTTATCCCCAAACTGACAGAGCAGAATGAGTCAGCTAATAGTTTGTGTGACACACACTCACTACAGAAGGTTCATCCCCCAGGCTGCTTTGCCCTTGAATGTGCAGGCCTGACCCCATTCACTCAGGCTATTACCCATCTGTCCGCTGAAGGGAAAGAAGCAAAGCATGAGAAATATTGATAGTTTTAGTTGGAGCTTTGCCATGGCTATGTTTTCCCCTTAATAGTATATCGTAGTTTTCTATGAATATCAATAGAGAAGACTTGATTGCTTGGACCAAGCTTGTGTATTTATTTAGAAACCAGCAGCAGAGTTCTCTTTCTATTCATCAGTTGTTTTTACAACCACATACCATAATTTAGAATCTCTTACCCTCTGTAGCATTCATAGCATCAGCAATTTAATTATTATTAATTGGTAATAATGAGTTTCTGTTAGTGAGCATTTAAGTGAACACAGTCATGACTC